ATTACTCCCTCCGTCCCCCTTATATTGTTCCGTTTTACCTTTTTGGGAAGTCCCACGCACTAATATTGTCTCATACCATATTTGGTAAAGTTTGTGTGATTCTAAATCATTCTTACTTTATCAATTAATATCAACCATTCAAACTCACTTTTCTTAATAATCATGCCACCTTCCTCCGTACCAATATAAAAGGGACGGATGTAGTACTAAACTTTTAAATTTTCATTCATAAAGCTAAACAAATTGCGCCAAAAAAGGTCAAGAATAATTACATATTTATGATTTAAAAAAAGGCTGTAAAAAGGTTGCAATAGTAATTTTAGTCATGTTAGGTTATATTCAAGTTTTACAATTTAGTTGCCACGAGTACACAACACTACATTGTTGTAACTTTTATTCTTTTTTTAAAATATGTTTTAAAAAATTAATATTTTTGAACTAACTACATCTTTTAAGAGATTATATTTAATCATCGTAATTGATGCATTTAAATGGGTCGTAATACTATAAATCTAATGTATTATTGTTACCTTTTTTATATAAATTTTAAAAGGCATTGCTTTGAAGCTCTAGGTAGAAGTATGAGAGATGTACTTTCTTGCTCTCATGATGGCAATCCAAAAATTGCCTTTTGGTGGAAAAACTATTGTTTTTATGGAGACTTTAGACAAGTGTTGCCTGTCATTCCTAAAGGCACAAGACAGGATATTGTTCATGCATCTTTGAATGCATCCCATTTGTGCCAGTATTGTACGGTGTTGAAGTTAACAAAAAACATGTGACTCAAGAACTTCACAAATGAATCGGCCAATCCAAGTATTTTGAAGCTTTTTGCCGATTGAGTTCTACAAATTGGTGATGGTGTTCTGGGAGGGAGCGATGATGGGGAAGCGGATATTGATATACCGGAATATTTTCATGTTCTAGTAATGTTTGAGCCCATTGAATCCATTGTCAACGCTACTTATCCAGATTTTTTGAAGAACATGAATAAGATCTCATATCTTGAAGAGAGAGCAATTCTTGCACCGATAATTGATGTGGTAGACAAGGTCAATGATTTCATGTTGTTGCAGAACAACTAAGAGGAAAAGACATATTTCAGTTCAGATTCAGCATGTTCCTCAACCTCAGACAATGAGCTCTTTCAGGAAATTCATTCTCCCAAATTCCTTAACGGCATAAAATGTTCTAGTGTTTAATGGCATCAAACAATACTTTAATTACTATATGCATAATCACATTTAGTTTATACCGTGAGTAAGACATTATGATATGAAAACACAATAAGAATAGGCATATAATATGAATGCAGTCAAAATATTCATACGAAAAATTTCATACATAATACTTTTATTATTTTTCAATTATGCACAATTACAAGAATATTAATAATATACTCCCATCATCCCAACGAAACGTGGCCGCAACGGGGATAGGATGCGATTGCAACACATGTTGTGACTGCAATATTGTGGTTGTATTCTGTAACGCAACCACATCAGGCCGTAATGGAAGTGCGGGTTCAATTCACGGGAAAAATCTACTACATAACCGAACGAAACCGTAGCATGGCCGCAACTGAGCCATATCAAGACATCAGCATTAATTATTTTGTTATTTCGTTTGAACGTAAAATTAAATTACGCTGCGTCGGCCGCAATAGCCGCAAACCGTAGTAAACACAATCACAATGCCACCGCAATAAAAACTTTGATGTAGACTAAAGAATAAATATATAATATATGATGATGGATAATTTAATATATAGTCATTTAACACATAAAATTTATTATCATTTGTGGTTAGATCATAGTAAAAATGAATTATATTAAACTTTGTATCCTAGGAATGATTCACAAATTGTCGCGCTGCTACCGGGACATTGCCCCGGGCTTTATACTAGTATATTAGAATTTGTAATAATATAGAAACCTTAATCTATGTGCTTATTAAAAATAACTCAAATCTTTGTGAATATATAATGCATATGGCAGAGAGCTTAACGCATATTACGTAATATAATGCATTATTTATGAACCTATGGATAAAATTTGTTAACTAAATATGATATTCCTTTAATATCATGTTTTGTGAATATGATAACTTTAGTGAATATCTCCTGGTTCAAATTTGTTAAAGTAAATATGATAACTTTTGTGAATATCTCATAGTTCAAATTACTCAAAGCTTCTTCCAACACCTTTGATATAACTGTTTGTCTTGTTTTGTCTCGTCCACCAAGTTGCATACATTTCAAAGAATCTGTCCAGTTATGTTTAATTTGCCTCTCCTCATTATCCATTTGAGAACAACCTTCTAGAACTTGTCCATCTCAATCAAATATTGTCTCGCTTGGCGCTATTTTCGTCCACCTGTTGATGATATAACACAGAAGCTCATCTAGGCCTTTTAATAGACATAGAATGTGATGACAAGGAATTTCTTCACCTTCAAACATCTTACATGAACAATGTGCAGTATGGGTTAAGTGATTATAAATTACTTCTCCTTTCTTACTCGCCTTATGACTGACATTTGCAATCGTAACTAATACCCGTTCACCCACCTCTGTCTACCATAAACTTCATAATTCATGCATGCATGCCATAACTCATCTTGAAACTTGTAAAAAATAGCGTATGTGTAAATCGATGTTGCATCAGAAACAACAACACACATGAATTTCTAAGTTGTTATTGCTATTGCTATCTTAATTCTATAAATCTAGATTTTCCTTTTTTTTTACATTTTAGTATTTTTAATTTCTTTCTACTTTCTTTATTTTATATTATTATATTCTCTAACTTATATGTAGTATTCTATAAGTAATACGGAGTAGGTTTTGGAAGTTATGACTATTTTTAGTGAAAAGGTATTAATATTATATTTTAAGTAATATAATTGAAATTGAAAAAAAAAATTGTAGAAAGAGGAGATTATGAATAGGGGATACGCGTACTGCCTCCTGCGGTTCTCTTCTTGCTTCTCTTCCGGCATTCCTCTGTCCTGCTCATCTGTACTTTTTATCTCCTCCGGCGGCATACGCGTACTGCCTCCTGCGGTTCTCTTCTTGCTTCTCTTCCGGCATTTTACTTAGGTGTGGTAAATGGTGTGTTCCAAGTAACAAATTTGTTTCTTTTTCAGTTTTGGGAAGAACGCAAATGTCTTATGGAAATTGCTACTGTGGGATTCCAGCAAAAGTACTGACTTCATGGACAAATGACAATCCAGGGTGACGATTCATTGCGTGCTCAAGGGTAAGGCCATGGAAGGATTATGTTTTTGTTAATTTTTAGTACTGATATGCCTTGTATGATATGTAAAATTTGTTCTTATATGAGTGGTAATATTAGTTGTAATATGAGTAGTAATATGCCTTGTAATGTAACTTCTAAATGCCAATTTTGTTGTTGTTGATATTCTATTAGGGTACAGGTTTCTGCTGCAACATGTTCGAATGGCTTGATGAGGAAATCTGTTATAGGTCGAAGATGATTATTCCTGGCTTGTTGAGTAAAATAAACAGATTGGAAGCTGAGGTTGCTGATGAGAAGGCAAAGGAAAAAGGGTTGTCCAAAAAACAGAGGTTTTGGACTGTCTTGTGGTGCATTCTTGCTGGATCAGTTGTGGTAGTCATATGGGCTCTTTGGTATGACAGTGCAATCAAGAAAAGGGTAGCTTTGAAGATGTGTGATGCTGGAACAGATTAGTTGGGAATGGAAGTTAGAGTAGACTTTCAGTTATTATATAATCTAAAGTAGGTGTGTGTTTTAGGAACTCATGTATGACTTAGTCAGATTTGATCTGTCAGTAGCTCTTGGTTTGATGTATCATTTTGTTAGGTTTCATGTATGACTTTCTGATGTAATTTAGGTGTATGAGTTTCTTTGGTTTGATGTATGAGTATTGTTGTAATCTGTTTGACTGATAATGAGTTTCATGTGTGTTTCAATTATGACTACTATGGACTGATATATGACTAGAATGAACTTCAAGTTCATTTCATATTTGCAGTAAAAGTTTTAACATCATATTCGATTTTATATGACCTGAAACCTGAACATATGGACTGATATTGAACATCATATCAGTCCAAATACACCTGCAAGCTGAACTGAACATTTAGGGTCAAAACAGACCTCAAACCTGAACATATGGGCTGATTTTCAACATCATATCACTCCAAATACACCTCCAATTCCTGAACTGAACATTTAGGGTCAAAACAGACCCCAAACCTGAACATATCGGCTGATTTTCAACATCATATCAGTCCAAATACACCTCCAATTCCTGAACTGAACATTTAGGGTCAAAACAGACCCCAAACCTGAACATATGGGCTGATTTTCAACATCATATCACTCCAAATACACCTCCAATTCCTGAACTGAACATTTAGGGTCAAAACAGACCCCAAACCTGAACATATCGGCTGATTTTCAACATCATATCACTCCAAATACACCTCCAATTCCTGAACTGAACATTTAGGGTCAAAACAGACCCCAAACCTGAACATATGGGCTGATTTTCAACATCATATCACTCCAAATACACCTCCAATTCCTGAACTGAACATTTAGGGTCAAAACAGACCCCAAACCTGAACATATCGGCTGATTTTCAACATCATATCACTCCAAATACACCTCCAATTCCTGAACTGAACATTTAGGGTCAAAACAGACCCCAAACCTGAACATATGGGCTGATTTTCAACATCATATCACTCCAAATACACCTCCAATTCCTGAACTGAACATTTAGGGTCAAAACAGACCCCAAACCTGAACATATAGGCTGATTTTCAACATCATATCACTCCAAATACACCTCCAATTCTCTGAACTCAATTTTCAAACTGAATTAATCACAATATGACATAATGAACTCCATTAAGAATCTGGGAAGTTGTAGTACACCATGAACAGAAATTTAAATTAATAAGACATGAAATCCTGAAGTACTTTACAACAACCAGATAAGAGCTTATGCTGCAACCATAAGTGGCACACAGACCACAAACAAAATACCAAAAATACAGTAGCTCTAAAGTCACTACTTAAGGGTACATTAGCAATACCATAAACTACTTTGAAGCATGTAACCCTTAATACATCTCAAAAAAGCATATGATCCCAAACACCACCAAGATATATGGAAAATAGGTAGTATGATCTTCCTAGATAGTAATTAAATATTGTTGCATCAACTCCTACATGGATACACTAATAACTTCATAGTCTACTGCCCAGCATTGCCTTCCATGGAATCATACAGCTCATTAAACCTTTGTCGTGCAGTTATTGAAGTACCAGTAGGTTCCACATCTTCAGCATGCCTTTTCCTTAAACTTTGAGCATTCACATTCCTCTCTTTAGCCTTCCTTGCTCTAACTCTCTGTAAAAGTTAAATGTACATTCCATGACACATACCATCACACAAATTGTCACTATACTACCATCAATGTAAATGTCATAATCTCCAAACCTTGAGCACTTATTGATCTTTGCCCCCTGAACTCAAATACACCATCAGTAGTTGTTTCATTTGTACCCTGCGTGTCACAGAAGTATGCTTCCAACCTACTTGGACCTCCATTTTCTTCTTCTGGAGTAGTAAATGCATTGTTACTTTCCTGCAAAGCACATACAAATAAGTGGTTGATTTTACCATTTAACACTTCAATACATAAACCATTTACATTACATTCAATATTATCCATACCTGAGTTGAGATATTCTTGTTAGGACACCTGTTCTTAGTGTGCCCAGGTTGGGAGCAGTTTCCACATGTTCTTTTTGGTGGGTTGGAACTCACAGGTTGCATATCAGGAGGGGTCTGTTCCATCTCACAAGTGTTACCACTGTCACCTTGAATATCACTTGGGAAAGTAGTTGAGCCTTGCATAATCACCTCTTTTGATGGACACCGTTTTTTGTTGTGCCCTTTTTTGAAGCATAGTTGACAGGTCATGACCGTACCTCTCTTTGGCAACTTCCCACTACAAGGAAACTCTCCAATTTCTTTTATTCTATTTTTCCTAGGCCTTCCCATCTCTTTTGTTTTCAAGTCAGCAGGTAACACTTTCAAGTCAGTCTTTGGCCAGAATAAAGGACCAGCTATGGGTGTCATCATCTCAGAATAAATATGAGTATACATTTCCTTCTTATACCATAGAGAGACATAGTCCTCAATTGGATGACCTCTATTCCTAATGGCACAAATGGCATGTTTACAGGGGATCCCAGAAACATCCCACTGCTCACATAGACAACTCCTATTGTCCAAGTCCACAAGATAAGTGTCAGACCCACATGACACTTCATAGCCATCTGCTCCATTAAATTGCACCCTCCAATAGTTGCTTGCTTGTATTGTTTTATTGATCCTCCTTCTAATTCTAGGCCCTAACTGCCCAATCCACTTATGTCCTAATTCTCTATTCTTGTTCAGTCTTTGCATGACCAATTTTCCAATATACTCCAACTGGGAATAACCTAATAGAGATCTAGCTGGAACTATAACTCCATTAAAGGCTTCACATAAATTATTATCAACAGTCTCACACTTAATGCATCTATTAAAGAAAGCTCTGCACCAGAACTTAGGATCTACCTTCAGAATGTCTTCATGTGCAGAAGGAGAAAGAGACTTCAAGCTTTCTAGGTTTGCTTCAAACTCCCTCTTCCAAAATGCTCTTTGTAATTCAATTCCAGGGTGGCCTCTTCTCCATATTGCATATATGTGTCTCGCACATCTTCTATGCTCAACATTTGGAAATGTCTCATACAAAGCAGGCATTAATCCCTGCAAAAGGAAAACAAATTTAAAGAACTTAAGAATTCAATATTACTTAACTCATATTACAAATCATTACTACAGAAAATCAATATTACTAAAGTCAAAGTACAAGTCATATAAGTGAGACATTTACAAGTGAGACCAGGCATTTTGAACTACAAGACATCTTACAACTCATTTTAAATATTACTCATTTAGAAGGTAAGACATCATAGTAGACATCATGTTAGAACTCATATTACAAGTCATATTACAAATCAAGATAAATATCATACATGGCAAACTACAACATACAGTAATTAACACAACTTTGAAACTTAACCTTTTGTTGGTCAGAAACAAAAGCCCAACCATCTCCTCTTCCTATGTTTAGATCACTGCCTAGATTTTCAAGAAACCACTTCCATGTGGCTTTTGTTTCAGAACCCACAACTGCCCATGCTATAGGAAACATGTGGTTATTGGCATCCCTTCCCACAGCTGTAAGAATTTCTCCCTTGACTTCAGACTTCAAAAAAGCGCCATCAATTCCAATTAGTCTTCTACATCCCTCGAGGAATCCTTTTTTGCAGGCATGAAGAGATACATAAAATCTGTCAAAAATTGGAGTGGGCTGCTTCACATGCAGAATGCATGTATTTCTTTCATTTGACCTCATAATTTCAGCCTTGTAATCCTCCAAATCCTTGTACTCTGCCTCTATATCCCCTTTTTCCAACTTTCTGAGCATTGATTTGGCTTTCTTCATTTGCTCCAAGGAAACTTCACAGTTCAGTTCTCTCTTAACCATTTCTTTCATTGCAGCCACCTTCATCTCACATACTCCTGGCTTAGTATTGAAAAAATTCTTGACTAACCACTTTGTTGTGGCACAAGGTAGTTGCCAACCGGGGTTACAGCTATGCTCACTCTTATAAGTCTTCACCACCCACTTCTTACTGCTACACCTATTGTCTATGGCAATGTAGACCATCCAATTCAAGTACATTCCTTGTTCAAATTAGAGCATTTAGCCCTAAGCATGTTGGCACAATTCTTTGCCCAATAATAGGGATACCTGTTGGTGACAGAGTATTTATCCATGTCATCTTTCACTTCACTTTTGGACTCAAAGCTCATTCCCAAAGAAAATGAAACTTTATCTTCAGGATTGAAGCTTGGAAATCTGGATTTCACTCTGACAGTCTCTTCTTCTTCAGGACCCGAACCAGATTTGTAGCTTCCTTCTTCACTAGAACTGAAGTATTCAGTTTCATAACCATCTTCCCCCCAACTTTCATCTTCTTCAAGTGTGGTTTGGTTATCAGTATTTTGACCTTGGGGTTGATTATGAATCCTTGAATTGGTAACCAGCTTCCTTAGCACACTCCTACCATGAATGAGTTCCTCATCATCTTCATTTTCTGAGTTATATTCTTCTTCAAATAAGAGGCCTGCTTCTGCCTCAATAACAGGATCTTGGAAGCCCAGATCAACAACAAAGGGGACATTACAAGTAAGGCCCTCCATTGTTTGTCTGCACCAATCATAAGTATGTTACCAACAACCAATCCAACACAATTAATTGCTGATAAAGAATTTCAAAGCATGTGACACAAATAAACTATTGCTATACACACACATTTTACATTTTAATAAATGGTGCAAAACTAGCGTTCTTCTATGTAAAAAATGTAAAAAATGTACTATCACTGTAATATTATGCTTAAGCGATTTACAACCCTAAAATTTACTTCACCAGACCAATGCATATGTATAAGTTCTTCTATGTAAAAAATGTATTAAACCATATAATTCTTGGAATGCTAATAAAAATGTTGCTTATGAAATACATTTGAATACCTTTGAAGAGATGACTCCATCTCCATCTGAAACTCAAGAAGTCAAATTGCTCTAAGCTTCTCCACAATGGCTTCGATCCGCCCTTCCGTTCGTTTGTAAGTGGCGTAACAAGGTAAGGGGTTAGGGTTGGGCGCTATTAACGAACAAATATGTTCAAAGCCTGTTTAATTTTGCCAAGTAAGTAAAACATTGGCCACATCAGTAATCCGTTGGCCACCTCAGCGGTTTATCAGAAGTAATGGGCCGAGGTACCATATTAGCTCGCGATTGGATAATTGGTGTACCGTTGGAACTCATTTGCCACATGAGGTACTCTTTACGCTACACGCCGCGAGTTCAGGTACTGAAGTGACACTTTTCTCCTATTGTTAGGTCATGTATGAAATCACGTGTTAGGGTTAGATACGCGTATTGATCCATGGATGATGGATACGTGTATTGGAAGTACTTGTGTTTTTAAAAATGAACCCAATACTTTATAAGAATTACGGATACATACCCACTACATATATGACGTATATCGGTGAATATTAGTATTGTATATACTTTTACCGGGTCAAATGCATAAATGGTACCTCAACTATTGGTAATGTTGCATTTTGGTACCTTAACTCTTAAATGAATCAAAACAGTACCTTAACTATACATAAATGTTTCAATTTGAGATTTTATTCAAATTTTCGACCAAAAAATCTTTCATGACGATCAAAATTCCATGTATAGAGTCGCTCTATAGGTGATCATATGAACAAAACAAAGAGGAAGTAGACTTTACGCATAGAATTTTGGCCGTCATGAGTGATTTTTTTGTCGGAAATTTGAATAAAATCTCAAATTGAAGCATTTATGTATAGTTAAAGTACCGTTTTGATTCATTTAAGAGTTAAGGTACCAAAATGCAACATTCCTCATAGTTAAGGTACCACTTATGCATTTGACACTACTTTTACCCGTTGTATTTCATTTATGGCACAACATTGTTTTCTTTTCAATTCTAATTTAAGTTTCTCTTTTCACTTTAGTTATTTTAACTTTTGAATTTCAAAATTTTTCTTGGCCATAAATTTTATACTTAAAGTTCCGAAGTTAAACCTTACCCTAGACCGTAAACAACTTTTTATTAAAGCTCAATCAATTTTGTTTTTGCAAGCACGGAGTTTACATGAGTTTCGTTAGTTAGGAGGAGCCAGCGAGTTGTGAGCAGGATCTTATGTGAGATGAGCGCCTGACCGTTTGAGTGTGAACAACGAGTCATATGTTGAGCAGTGAGCCATATTTCAGGGTGCAAACAGCGAGCTTGGGTGCGAGCAACAAGCCGTCGGTAACAGTGATGGGCGAAGCGCAACTTCAACAAAAAGCGTCCATGATACAACCTGTTTTACCATATAATTTGCACAGAGAATATGTCACTTTGATGGAAGTTTTAAAAAATGAGGAAATGGTCAGTTGAATACGTCAAGTTGAATACGTCAACTTGTGTGACGCGGAGTGAATACCCCTTAATTGATGCACCCCTGCATGTCGACTATCCTTTTTGGTCGACTTCCTGAAGGTCGACACCATAATTGTGATCGATAATCCCTTTTTACTCAACATTTCATAAGCCAACTCATCCATATTGACATGTTAAAATGATGAGTATACTCTTTACTTCAGCTCATTCAAGTTGACGTACTCAACTGACCTTTTCCTGTATAAAGAATACTACGGGTAATTGGGTAAATTTAACGATATAGTGAATATTTTGCAATTTTAATCTATAAAGGTGTTACAAATTTAAATAAGAAAAAAGTCATTTTTACACATAATGTGTACACATCACCCAGTCATCTGTGTACAATTAAAGCTCTTGTGTACACATATAACTATGTGTACAATAAATGGATACAATTTATGTGTATAAATAGCACACTCCGACGTAAAATGAAGCCACAAAAATAAATGGTGACATGGAGAGTATGTTATTCACTCAAATATGTGGTTGCTAGAAGGAATTGAAGTCACATTATTGTGGACGCGGATAAGTACCGCCCTCTACTGTAGCGTCTTTGTCATGACTCGTAATCAGCAATAATGAGTTCATTTAAGAGTTTCAGATGCATGACATGTAACGTGGCAACTTGGTCATGTATATCCAAAATACAAACTGATGGATATTTCTAAGCCTGGACTATTGGGCCCCTATCAGCAACGATAACTTTATATTCCACCTATTTAAAAGTTTTCAACACTTTCCTTTGTGATGTATTTAAAAATTCTCAAACACTTTCATTTTTTTACAAGTTTATCCCTTATAAAATACTCACCTACCCTTACTTTATCTAACTTTTATCTTCTCTTTCATACTTTTACACACTATCTCCTACTTTTTTTGCACTATTCACTACCCCTATTATTCTATCCTAAAATATTGTGCCAAAAGCTAGTGTAGTGAACATTTAAATACGGAGGGAGTATCATTTGTGACGCGTGGGTCTAATTTTCTCCAAACTTCAAAAAGTTGAATCCTCAATCCCAATCCAAAAGTCTCACGCCTTGATCTCAGAAGACATATGAGAGGTATTTAAATCACGGTGATTCAGTCACTTCAATGATGATAGACTTTGTATTGTGCGCATCAGAGGTCTATTAATCTAGTTCACATGAGTTGTAACCTCCAGACGGTCGTTACGAGTTTCGATCCTCTATCATTCCCCAACTTTCCCACCATTCGATTAACCGAGCTACCCGTGTTAAATTAAAGTATTTATCCCACCCGAACATCTACAAAACAATAAAATACTACATAAGACGTAGAACTTTTAGAATGGAAGCTCATGTTTTAATCGAGGATCGAATTTTCAAGTTAATTAAATGAGAAATAATACTCAAACAATTGATTCAAATGTGTCAATACCTAAGTTAACTTTGGATTATTAATTCGTTCAGTTTCGATTCTCAACTTTTACATTTTTATTATCAAATGTAGTCATCATTTGATTTCATTTGTAATATCTTAATCTTAATCAAGTACAAACTCAAACCATTTGTATACCATAAGAGTTCATATTTGAAGTCAAAGCTCCACAGTAGAAGTGAGGAGAGTCTCGATTAAGTTCAAAGTGTGAGAGAATGTTACCGGTTGCCCTCTAAATAGCTCGGGCAGATCTATTTATAAAAGAGAGGTATTGTTTAAAATACATATATAAATTACCCTAGTCTATTACAATCCTTCAAACTGTGCAGGAGATACAACCGTAGGTTGTCCTTTAAAACATGAAAACGTTGATTAGAGAAGCTCTTAGTAAGAGCCCGTTTGGCAACTCTGTTTTCTGGCTTATCAGCCAACTTTTTCACCAAACACGTAAGTTTTGCTTTCGCGCGCTGGATTATGTAATAAGCAGAAAAAGTAAGGTTGGAGTTACATTTCTGGCTGTATTGGCTGAAGTTGTTGTAGATGACCATTTTAGCTATTCTTACATATAATTTTTTCTTTATTTTATTAATAAAATATATTTTAAAAATATTTTTTTCTTATATCAGCAGAATCAGTCAATGCAGCCACTTCAGCCAGAACTTCATAAATTTCAACAGAATCAACCAAAACAGCCGATTTTCGTGCTACCAAACGGGCTCTAAATCACCATGAGGTTTGGCCCATTTACGGAAATTATTTGTTCTCGCCTCAGTCAAGCTCACACTCTTACCAGATCTATTTCAAGATATGTGTAGCACAACATTCATTAATATTATACATTGATTCATGTCTTGTTTTGACATACGAAAAGATGAACAAAATAAGAGTACTATACCTGATAAATAAATAAGTTAAAGATGAGAACTAATTAAAACTAATCAAATTAATAGTGTAGAACCAAATTGAGAATTGTAGTCAGCAGTCGAGTACGTACTAGTTCTGGTAGTACCTCCAAGCGTCCAAACAGGCCGGTAAATGGTGCAATATTATTTTTTCTTAGGGTTCTTTCCAAAATATTTACACAAATATGACTAATAATTACTACTACCTGCGTCCCTAATTCCGTAGTACAAATGACACACGGATTAAGAAAGTGAGAATTGTGTGGTTGAGAGTTGTGCACAGGAAAGAGAAATGTGTAAGAATTACTGTGAACCACAAATTCTTTGCCAAAAAGGGAAAATGAAATTCTTTTTGGAACGGACGAAAAGGGAAAGTTGGAAGTTCTTTTAGGGACGGAGGGAGTATAACGTATTCTCATAATAACTTAAGTTAAGAAATAGAACATCAGTTACTATGATTTCATTACTATTCTAGTCATTAATCATATATATTTTGTAAACAATCTTATTTTTAGTCAAATACATGTAATTATTTCTTGAGAGTATTGCCCGAAATAGGACTAAAAAGGTTTGAAAATTCCAAAATAGGACTGACATGTTTTTATTCTCAAAATAAGACTAATTACTGTCATGTTTTGATAGTACCATACTTCAAACATGTAATTATTTTTCAAATTTGACAGTAATTACTCTTATTTTGGGAATAAAAAACATGACAGTCCTATTTTAGAATTTTCAAACTGTTTTAGTCCTATTTCAGGAACTTTCCCTTATTTCTTTATTCTAACACCCTAATGCCTGTTGGAACTTAGAACTTTAATTAATAGACTCTAACTCAAATACTAGGCTCCAAAATAAAAATTTACGTGTTTAATGATAGAATTGACTGTTAAGCCTGATAAGCCGAAAAACATGATCAAAAGAAAGTTAGTGTCACCTCTAGAGATGTTATTGGATGATAAAACTATACTACTCCCTCCGTAACATTTATATCTTCCCACTTTCCTTTTTTGGATGTAACATTCATATCTTCCCATTTCATAATCTTCCAATCATACCCTCAATAATTTTAAAAATAATACACTATTACACCTACTTTTTTTGGATTTATCCTTCATTCCAACACATTATTTCAATATCTTCCCATCATACCCTCAATAATTTATATCCACTTTCACTATTCTTAATCTACCTACTTTTCAAATGGGAAGATATATATGTTACGGAGGGAGTACATATTTTCTAAATACTATTCTCTTGTACTTTCTCCAAATTTCATACATATTGAGCAAAATAAGTTCTATCCAGTCATAATGTTACATACTAGGTACTCCCGTAGTATATAAGGCTGATTGCAACCTTGGGGTGAAAAAGCCAATTTTGAGCTTTGCACCCCCAAAACAAGTGCAATCCAATGTATTGAGAAGGGCCAAAGTGGGTTGGAGGCCCCTTGGGAGTGGAATCCTGTAACTTTATTCACGGAAGAATGGCTAGCCCTTGCTGCGTGAAAGGATGGGCCAAGATGAAAAAATAAAGGGAAATTATCACAAATAGGCTGAAAAGTGAAAGTTATATCACTTTTGTCCCATTTCAAAATTTCTTTCAAAATTAGACTAACTATATTTTGCTTTTCACAAATAGCTAACACATACGGA